GGTGGGGGGAAGAAAAAACGGAGAAACAAAGAGTCAAAATCAGCAGGAGCCTGGTCCGGCAGAACAAACAGCATGTCCAAGTCCTTGGTGAAGAAAAAACAACCCTCTTTGGGAAAGGGAGAGCATCTTGTTCCTCGGCATCCGGCGGGGCTGGCGGGCGCCAAGGAGCGGGAACAAAAGGGGCACAGTTGGGAGAGCGGTGCAGGATGGTGGGGAGCATCCAGCACGGGGAGGGGGGGGGCAGAGAGCAGCTGCCAAACCGCTTTGCCCGCTTTCCTCTGCCCACAAAGCCCGGCAACGTCAACGACTTGGCCGGGAGCGGGGAAAAAGGCAGCGCAGCGTCCCCGACCCACCACCTCAAGGACGGTCTCCACAGTTTCCAGCGCGGTTATGCGATTTCCAACCGGGTCGGGACTATTTTGGAAGGGGCTGAGGGGTGAAGGAGAGCAGGAGAGAGATGCAGAGAGGTTTGTGGTGGCAGGAGAGGGATGGAGAAATACCTGACTTTGCAGTACGCCTGCCGCCGCTCCATCCAGACGTACCGCATGCCCTCGAAGAGATAATACCGCAAGACGTTCTTCTGAGCGGAGCGGGATGGAAAAAAATAAGGCGTTGACGGGACAGGAGGACAGGTCGCGCCAAGGGAGAGGGAGGTGGGAAGGGTCGCTAGAGGTTACCTCTTCCTTCTCGTGGAGCCGGATGGTGTCCCGGCTCTCCTCCTCATCCGCCACGCCGATGGCGATGCTGGTCCTGCGGTCCTCCAGCCTGGCCCCGGGGTGATGCTCCAGGCTGCTCGGGGTGGGGAAAAAAAACCCAAAACCCCAAGGGTTAATCCCTCCCCAACCACCGGCGCCGCTGCAAACGTCCCCCCCTCCCTAAGGCAAAAACCCAGCGGAGCCCCCGCAGCGCGCGGGGCCACGAGCCCGTCTCACCTGCCCTCGCCCAGCGCCTCCGTCCGCACGCGGGTGGTGAAGCACTGTCCGAATCGGTCCTGTAACGCAGGGACGGGGCTGAGCAGCGGGAAACGGGGATGTCCCCTCGCCCAGCGCCTCCGTCCGCACGCGGGTGGTGAAGCACTGTCCGAATCGGTCCTGTAACGCAGGGACGGGGCTGAGCAGCGGGAAACGGGGATGTCCCCACGTGTGTGTGTGTGTGTGTCACCCAGCCCAGATGGCGGGAGGGTTTCAGGGACAATAAAGAGACATTTCGGCTCAGCAAAGAGAAATTTTGGCTCAGCAAAGAGAAATTTCAGCTCAATAAAGAGAAATTTCGGCTCAATAAAGAGAAATTTCGGCTCAATAAAGAGAAATTTCAGCTCAGTAGTGAGAAATTTTGGCTCAATAAAGAGAAATTTCAGCTCAGTAGTGAGAAATTTCGGCTCAATAAAGAGAAATTTCAGCTCAGTAGTGAGAAATTTCGGCTCAATAAAGAGAAATTTCAGCTCAGTAGTGAGAAATTTCGGCTCAATAAAGAGAAATTTCAGCTCAGTAGTGAGAAATTTCGGCTCAATAAAGAGAAATTTCAGCTCAGTAGTGAGAAATTTCGGCTCAATAAAGAGAAATTTCAGCTCAGTAGTGAGAAATTTCAGCTCAAAAGTGAGAAATTTCGGCTCAACAAAGAGAAATTTCAGCTCAACAAAGAAATTTCGGCTAAATAAAGAGAAACTTTGGCTCAATAAAGAGAAATTTCAGCTCAATAAAGAGAAAATTTGGCTCAGTAGAGAAATTTCGTCTCAGTAGAGAGAAATTTCGTCTCAGTAAAGAGAAATTTCGGCTCAACAAAGAGACATTCCAGGCTGGCTGCTAGAGAAGGGGAAAGCGCAAAACGATTCCAGGAATATTAATGATTTTCAACTGGAAGAGGGTTGGTTTAGATGAGATCTTAGGAAGAAATTCTTGGCTTTGAGGGTGGGGAGGCAGTGGCCCAGGTTGCCCAGAGAGGGTGGGAGACGTCCCATCCCTGGAGGTGTTCAAGGCCAGGTTGGACGGGGCTTGGAGCAACCTGGGCTGGTGGGAGGTGGCCCTGCCCTGAGCGGGGTGGAACTTGATGATCTTCAAGATCCCTTCCAACCTACACCATTCTATGACTAATTTGGCTGTGGGGCAGCGCATTGCTTGACGAAAGGAGATGTCAAACACGGGATGGGGAAGGGAAGGTGACAAGTAGTGAGGAACATGCCGGTGGTGGAACCCAACCTTCTCCAGCCCCCTGGACCCCCTCGGGGGACTCACCCTGATGATGACCCAGTCGGCTTGGCCGAGGGCGCAGGGCTTGCACTTCGCCTGCACCTCCAGGCTGGGCTTCCAGTGGAAGAGGAGGAGAAGCAGCCCGGCCGTCAGCACGGAGCAAATGTGGCACAGGACCACCCGCCATGTCTTGGTCTGGTAGCCCGTGACCTCCTGGAAGAAAGGAGGTCACCTTTATGGGGAGGCTTAATCATAAAATAAACCAAAATTAAAATTATCAAGCATCTAAATCCTAAAGTGTTAAAAGCCTTAAAGCCTCCTGGTGTGATTTAACACCGGGCAGGTGACGACGGAGTAACTTTGGGGCCGGAAAACCACCGTCTCATGCTGGCGTTGCGGATAACACCCGGTTTTTGTGCCAACCCTTCCCCGAACGTGCCATCCTCCCCTTCGGACCTACCATGCGGGATTTCTCGGCGTCTGGCCGCAGCGTCCCGTAACCCGTCCGCCGCTCCCCCAGCAGCCTGCTGCTGTCTGCGAAGTCAAAAAAAAACAGTAAAAAAAACAACCCAGAAAAAAACACTAAATAAAAATAAAATTAAGAGAGCTGATCGAGGGGTTATTTAGGAGATGTCACGGTGACGGGCTCCGGGCTGCAGCGATGACATCCCTTGGAGGAGTCGCAGAAGGCGGGTGGACTCGGTGTCCCCTCTCCTCGGCTCCCGGCAGAGCCGTTTGGGGTCACCTCGGCGGCGCAGGGGGAGGGGGGAACCCCAGGCGCTGCCCGGTCCCCCCTTCCCGCGGCACGTGATGGTCACACCAGCGGCTGCCAAAGGAACC